CCTTAAATACTGCTGCAACACCTGGTTAGTCCTCTCCACCTTCCCATTCATAGAAGGGTGGTGCACGGAAGAGAGGTGAACACAGACCTTCAGTAACTGGAAAAGGACCCTCCAGAACTTAGAAGAGAACTGGCTCCCTCTGTCTGTTATAATCCAGTTAACCATACCTCTGTACCTGAAGATGTGGTCTAAAAAGAGCTGTGCTGTGGCCTGCACTGTAGGCAATCCTTTGCATGGTATAAAATGAGCCACTTTTGTAAATAGGTCCACTACTACCAGTATGGATGTATACCCCTTCACCAGGGGTAAATCAGTTATGAAGTCCATTGAAACTGTACCCCAAGGCCGAGGAGGGGTGTCTGACGCTGCAAGAGGCCAGTTGGCTTCCCATGGAGGGGTTTAGTACACCTGCTCACATGGCAAGATGCAACATAGTCTCTAATGTCTGCAGCTATCTTTGGCCACCAATATTTTCTTAGAGTCCTGTGGAGTGTTTTAAAAACTCCCCTATGGCCAGCTGTCTCATTATTGTGGCAAAGCTGCAACACTTCCTCCCGTAGAGGTAGGGGAACATACAGCCGACCTTTATGCCAAAGTTGCCCCCCTTCCACTGAAAACGAGGAGACAGCCCCTTGCCGGGTCCCCTGGAGGTCATCCATCCAGCCCCTGCATACGGGTCTGTCATCTGCTGTGCCTTTATCCGCGCAAAGAGGTCTTCCGCCTACCGACCTGCCCCCAACCTCTCGTTCCCGTAATCCTCACTCTGGTTTCTAAAGCTGTGGGGCTGCAAGATCACAGCACGGGTGGGCAGCTGTTGACTCGCTAAATACTTTTCCAGTTTACAGGAAAGCGCGTCTGGTAGCAGGTTTCGGGACCAGGGACATATGTTATATAAAGTCAAAACAGGAGAAAAACTGGCTCCACCTTACCTGTCAGGAGCTGAGTGACTGTGTATTCTGCATTAGCTCCAAGTTCTTATGGTCCGTGCAAACTCGCATGGGAAATTCTGCCCCCTCTAGCCATTGCCTCCATTCCTAGAAGGCTGCCTTGACTGCTAGCAACTCCTTGTTAAAAATACCATAGTTTTTCTCTGCGGGTGATAGTGTGCAAGAGAAAAAGGCACACGGAAGCAATTTCCCCCCGCCTCCTTCCTCAGCTTGGAGCAGCACTGCTCCAATCGCCACATCCAAAGCGTCAGTGTGAAGGCCAAACTGCCGCAAGGTATTGGGGTGAAGGAGGAGGGGCCGCAAGGCAAAAAGTTGTCTTAACTCCTGAAATGCCGAATGCTCCTTATCTGTCCAAGCAAACCTCTTGCCTTTCTTTAATAGTTTAATAGAGGCTTGACCCTTTCAGCAAAATTCGGAATGAACTTTCTGTAAAAGTTAGCAAACCCCAGGAAACGCTGCACATCTTTCACATTACAGGGCAAGTGCCAAGACAACACTGCCTGCACCTTGGCTGGGTCCATTTATAGTCCCTCTGTTGAAATTCTGAACCCCAAATAATCCAATTGACATAAATCAAACACACACTTTTCCACCTTGGCAAACAGGTTATTGTCTCTCAGCCTCTGCAATACATTTCTGATGTGCGTAGTGTGCGACTCTGCATCCTCAGAATATATTAAAATGTCATCCAAATAGATCACAACATAAGAATCAATTATGTCAGAAAAAAACTGATTCATGAATCTGGAAAACACCGCCCCACAGTTAGCAAGTCCGAATGGCATTACTGTGTACTCAAACTTTCCATACCTCTTATCAAAAGCAGTCAGGTATTCATGCCCCTCTTTAACACGAATGAGGTTGTAGGCATACCTAAGGTCTAACTTCGTAAAGATGCGTGCTTTCTGCAGCCAATCTAAAAGATCAGATATCAATGGCAGTGGATAATAATCCCCTATCGCGACCTTATTTAGGTCCTTGTAATCATGGACGGTGCGCATGGCAGCTCCCTCACTAGACCCTTTCCCTGAAGTCTGTGGGTCTGGCTTCTTTGGTACAAAAAATGTGGGAGCAGAAGCCAGCGACTTCAATGGTCTGATACACCCCTTCTTTAGGTTTACATCCAGGTACTCTTTGAGAATAGCTAACTCTTTTGCAGACATAGGATACTTCTGCTTGGCCGGGATCTTTGCCCCTGGTTTCAAATCAAACATGCAGTCACAGTCTCTATGGGGGGTGGGTAGTGCAGTAGCCTCCTCCTCCCCAAAAACGTCTGCGAAATCAGCATACTTGGCGGGTAGTCTCCCTCCCTCTTTCTGGAAGTTTCCTTTGTGAATGGAGAGAGTGGCCACCTGGGCCTTATGGTGCTGGCAGTCGGGAGAGGAGAATGAGAGTGTTCTTGCATTTGCTCAGTTTCATGCTCAAGGAACAATCCTAGTGCTAAATAAATATTAGCATCATCCTAAGATGTAGCTTTTTTTATTAAAAGGCAATTGCTAATGGTTAGGAATGTGCATTTATTCTGGAACAAGCATTTAAGAAGTTGGGAGACACATGGATAAAGTTGCATACAGCCAAGAAATGAATGCACTCCAACAGGCTCTTATTTAAAGCTTCCATTCACACTTTTGCACTTGCTCCTGACAGTTGCAATAAAATAGCTACTTGCAAAAAATAATTACTGGTAGCTACTCATTTTTTCCTGGTCTATATCAAGACATACTAAAATGGTACCCAGGACTATCATCACTGATTGCTCTACTATTGTTTCAAAGTGATATGTGATAGCAGAACAGCTTTTTAACAAAATCCCTAAAGAAAAGCATATATCCCCCAATCTAATTTTAAAAAGTAATGACAGGTGAGACCAAATTTTGTATGTACCTGAGAGAACGGGTTTCCTCTATGTGAATCAGCAGAGATCTCTAAACTAGAAGGATATAATACAAATTATCTAATTTTAAAAAGTAATGACAGGTGAGACCAAATTTTGTATGTACCTGAGAGAACGGGTTTCCTCTATGTGAATCAGCAGAGATCTCTAAACTAGAAGGATATAATACAAATTATATTCCAAGCTTGGAAGGAAAGAGGCTAGTTGGATACTGAACAGATTCTTTTTGCCTCAGTGGCTTGTCTGTTGCACTGGAAGGAGACACCAACTGTGTTTTGCTGAAGGAGGCACCTTCAATGATGTAGTGACATCAGTAGGGATCAAGCCTTTTAAATCATTGGATGGTGTTGAGCCTCCCACCAATTTTACCCTTTTGAAATTTGATTTCAAATAGCTGAGGGGGACCACCAAAAGTTACCAGTGATGGGAAATGTTGGTAGCCCATCTGAGAGCTCTGAGAGCTGCAAAAAAATGAGCCAGGAGTTGTGGGGGGGAGGCATATGGTTTATGTACTGCAGATTATCAATCCCTGAGTTAAAGCTATATTCACTTTTTTTAAAGCAAGTGATGGTGATTCTACAGATTTAAGGATGGATGGATGGATAGATGGTTTAAGGAAATTTAAGGAAATTTAGCTATTGTGATGTTCATATAAACTATTACAATGCATTTACAGGTAGTCCTCAATGTCCATTCATTCAGCGACCGTTCAAAGTTACGACAGTGCTGAACGAGAGGTACTTATGATGGGTCCTCGTAGTTGAGGCCATCACAGCATCCCCATGGTCATGTGACTGCAATATGGGCACTTAGTGAACCGGCTCACAATTACAACATCACAGCATCCCACAGTCACGTGATTGCTGTTTGTGACTTTCACTACCAGCTTCCGACAAGCAAAGTCAATGGGGAAGCCAGCAGGAGATCGCAAATGGCAATCATGTGATTTCCTCACTTAACAACCTGTGGTGACTCACTTAATGACAGCAACCAGAAGTGCTGGAATTTCCATTAATAAGCAACATGTCACATGGCATTGCGCCTTACGACCACGTCACTTAGTGGCAGAGTTCCTGGTCCCAATTACCATTGGTAAATGAGAACTACCTGTATGTGTAAAATGATTGTTCTAAATCCCAGAAAGTTACGGATGCCAAACTTAAACTCAGGAGATAGCAACTATTCCAGAGAAAAGTTGGAGAAGTGGAATGCTTAACTGGGTTTCTAAGGAGACAGCTGGAAATACAAGATTATTATCCAGAATCTTTCCAAGAAGAGCCCGGAAAGCACAGTATCCTCCAAATCTTGAAGATTTTCATATATACATCCTATAGTGGTTGAAAAAAATTAACCAGAAACATTAAATAGCTATTTCCTCCCTTAATAAGTAGTACAAACATCTCAAGGTTACATCTTGCTTCTCTTTAACTAATTTCCTCATTGTGGTCAGCAGCTCCTTCTCTAATATTCTTCCACAGACCAAATTTTTCATACTTACTGAGAAAGTAATGGGAGAACTTTTCTCCTGTAATTATCTCGTGCCAAATTATTCAGATAAGATGCATACCTTGACAGAGAAAGTAAGTACAATGTTGGTACAACTGGCATCTCTGAGCACTTCCCGGCTTGGCATACAATTGCAGTTTCAATGCCTGAATGGAAACGGTGCTGTGATTGGAGCTCAGCAAAGGACGAAAGAAAAACTGGTGCTGATTGGTTGAAAGGGAGAAGAACTGTCTCTGCTGAAGAAATGAAAACGGTTGTTGCTTGGATACATTCTCTGTACACAAAGCCTGGTTTACTTTGGTCTCTGCTTCTCCATACTTCCTACAAATGCTATGCTTGTAGCAGTTCAGCTATTAAAAAAAAAAAAAAGCAGTGAATGAAGACATGTTTTGCCTCCTCCTTTAAGTATAATTATCTAATAGAAGTACGGAGAATTTTGATGTGTGTCATCTCATGCTTCAGGACCGTTGGCAAGTAGTTCACCATTAGGTTCAAATCCATTTCAGTTCCATTTTCCCCATGTTCCTCTTGTTTTTTTTTCCCCCCCCCTTGGGACTTTTTTCCAATTACCTGTTCATTCTGCTGGCTCAAACTGAATGCAAATTTGTGTTCCAGGGTGAAACTACAAGAGAAAAACAGAGACTCCTGAAAGTATGTTGCATTCAAGAGCTTTCTTGCTGTTGGAAAAAGAGTTTACGGAGTTCAAACAAGCAAATATATTTGTAAGTATAATTTATTCCATATCTATCTTTTGCAGACATTTGTCTGCTGCCTGTTCTTTGCATCCTAGGTGGCTTACAGTCTTAGAAACAGAAAACAGACAAAACAAATAAAACTGCTACAATTGATCCATCACTAGTCCTCACAGTAACAGGGCTGTCACCACCAAAGGCCCTATTGAACAGCACCCTTTTAATGTCTTCCATTTTGCTTATAATAGTCAAGACCATCAGCATTGTATTAGAATCACAATTAAGTATATGACAGAGTTCAGGATCTGCTTTCTAGTATTCTATCAGCATTGAAAATTGGTGAGCATTTTTTGGTTTTCCTTTTAAGAACCTCATTCCCTCAGGGGTAGTTAGTTGGCAGCTACTTGGTAGTTGGGTTGAAGCTAGCAGTAGGTAGGGGCAGAACCAAACGTGACTAAAATGTCTATTCTCTGATACCATCTTCCTTCCTTCCTTCCTTCCTTCCTTCCTTCCTTCCTTCCTTCCTTCCTTCCTTCCTTCCTTCCTTCCTTCCTTCCTCTGCCAGCTTCTTCACTTGTTCTCCTAAACCAAAGTTTAAACAAGTCACTGTTCCTGTAGTTTGGCCGTAATGGGGAACTGTTGTTTATTTGAAATTAATTTTTAATGGAGCAGCTGGTATGAAATGTAGTAGCCTGTATGTTAACTGGCCCCAGACTTCCTGTGCATACGACCCCTGTACTGGGGGCCTACAGTGGTCACCAATAGGTTTCCAGATGCAATTTAAAGTATGTCTCTTGACCTAAAAAGCCCCATATGGCTTGCCACTGAGATACTTTCAGACCATCTTCTTCAGTTAGAATCAACCCATCCTATATGAACATTCTGGAAAAAAAATGCTTTTAGACCCCCATTACCATTGACTTTAAGAAGGCTAAGGCCAGAAGGAGGTATTTCTCCATGATGGAGCCAGTATTATGAAGAGCCTCTCCCAAAAGGTTAGACTTCCCCAACTTTATTAGCCTTTGGGAAGTAGGTTAAAGTAGTCATCTCCCAGGGGGCTTTGTAGCTAGTTAGATAATGCCATTGGAATTTTATATGTTCTATTTCAGTTTAATTCTGTTTGAAAGTTATTTTAATTCTTCTGTTATTTTATATTACATATCATTACTGTGGACATTCAGTGTTATACACTTGAGAGTCATATGATTGCAACAATGTAGAAATCTATATAAATGAATGCACAATCATTTCTCTGGGACCAGAAAGAGGAGGAGAGATTTCCATTAAGTGTAAACAGACAATCAACAAGTAGAAGTGCAGTCTTCTGACAAAAGTTATCTGGGCTTGAAAGCTAAGTAGAAATAGATCCGATTAGGACTTGGTTGGATAGGAGATCTTAAGGAAATCCCAAGACTGGAGGGTAGACGGGGCAGTCACAAAATTATTTGAGAAGAAGGCAATGGCAAACTACATTTGTACTATGGTTAGTGTCTACATAGCCACCAGGAGTGAAGCTCAAGTGTGGTTTTACTTTATGATAGTGAAGCCAAAACTGCTTGTTATCTTTTCTTTCTTTAGGGCATTTCTGTTATGCCTATGGAAGACAATTGGATGGAATGGATAGCTGAAATTGAAGGGCTGAAGGATACCTTATGGGAAGGTGGCTACTCTCTTTCCTAGAAATGTTATAATATATGGTGGTATTGCACTTCCTAAGCTGTATGGATGTAATATGTTAAAGTATGATTTATTATTACTTACAATTTGTAGAGCCTTTTGGTAAATGCACTATAAACTTTATTAATTGTAAAATCAAGGTCAAGCAATAACTTTATTAGGAGCAATCAATGTGTAACATTCTGGAAAAGCTTTTTTGATCTCCAAATTCTTCATGAGACAAGATGCAGCAAAAATCAGGAATGAACCCAGAGAGTACAAAAAGCACTAATTGAAGTTGAAGTTATAGAATACAGTACTTAAATATTGAAAATACTGAAATACCAAATACTGAGGGTAGAGTAGCAAGGAATAAAATTAAGATAATAAAAAGAGAAGGCAGCCTTGTTTTCTGGCATTATGGGTACTGAAATGTATGTACCCTCTGTTTGCATCACAGTAGATATAAATAGCTGAAAGGCTGTTTATATAAGAGTACAACCTGTGCCATTTACTTTGAAGAAAAGTCTATTCATTTCCAAGCAAATACACATTATTTTAGGCTGTATAAATCTTTCTGTAATCAGGGGTGGACAACCTTATTTCTATCAAAAACCACAATTCTCTAATGCACTGTTTCTCAACCTCAGCAACTTTAAGATGTGTGGACTTCAACTCTCAGGAATTCTGTGCGCATATCTTAAAGTTGTTGAGGTTGACAAACAATGCTCTAATGAGAACTGCATTGCATGCCAGTGATAAATAGGTGAAGCAAGTGGTGGATGAGATCAGAGTCAAATGTAGGTGGCCACCCTTACCCTTTCTCTTGCACATCCTATTTTTGACATGTTTTCCTCCTTACAAGACATGCTTAAGGTCACTTTTGCTAGAAGTCTGAATGGATTGTTTGCAGAGGTTTTTGAGGTTTAGCTGAGGGTCATATAAAATTAAGTTGAAGACCACCTGTCAGTTCATAGTTACAGGTTACCTATACCTGGCATACAATATAATATATATATATCTATATTATACTAGGTGCTGAACTTCAGCTATCACTGAAATATCCTGAAGACTACAACACCATCCCTCCAACCATCATATTCTCCACTATTCCTTTTCATCCCAATGGTAAGGGTATTATTAAGGACAGTGTCCTTCATATGGTAATTGATCAACAGCAACCTGTTGACCCACTTGTGCTCCTCAGTTTCTGGTAAGGGTTGTTTTCCAGAGTAATGTAACAGCTGTATATGTGTGTGTGTGTGTACAAAAATTTCTATAGCCGCCCATCTCAACCAAGTGACTCTGGGCAGGGAATTCTAAAGCAATAAAAACAATTAAAAACAATACAAAGATCAATTTATATGGCAGCCAAGAAAATTATCATAATCATTATCAGTATAGCCAAGAGATGGGCCCCTTAATACATTCAGGGTCCCAGGCCCGGGCACATAGCCAGGTCTTTAAAGCCTTATGAAAGGCCAACAGGGTTGGGGTCATCCTAATCTCTGAAGGGAGGATGTTCCTAAAGGCAGGGGCTACAGCAGAGAAGGCACGTCTCCTGGTTCCTGCCGGCTGACTTTCCTTGGCTGATGGGACCCGTAGCATGCCCAACTGCCAAACCGAATTGGATGGGTAGAAACTATTGGGAAAAGATAATCCCTCAGGTAACCCAGTCCCAACATCATATATATGATGTTTTTATTATTGTAAAGCACTACAAGTCAGGGTTAATTCGACTGGCTATAAATAGGGTTATATAAATAAATAAAATAATTTAAATAAATACTAATACAATCTGTTCTACATTTTGCTGCTCTTGAAAAGCATTTAGAAGCTAGTGAAAATCTGCTAGGTTGCTTGTAGGATAACCAGAGTATATTATTCTGCTATTATTTGTCTATGTGGGTTTACATATGGTTTTAGGTTCATTTCAAGGGAATAGTTCTTAGTCTTTAAGTACTAACAGCTTGGAATCCAGAGATCTTAAGTCAACTCCTAGGTAGATTGTATTATATGCTCTTTTCATTGTCTCAGGAGACAGAAGCAGAAACAGCCATTTAGGCTATTGAATCCAACTTTCCTGTGTAGTGCCACCATCCAAATGGAAGCATTTCCAACAGAATGCGAGTCTCTGAATACATCTTGTGAAGGGAACTTCCCCCATTTTTTTCCTTTGGGATGGGAACAGTTATTTCCAATTGATTGATGCATTTGTTAAATTTAACAAGGAGCCCAAGGCAGCGTACATACCACTGTTTCCTCCAATTTTTTTCCGACAGAACCTGTGAGGTAGGCTGGACTGAGAGTGACTGGCCCAAAATCACCCTGTGAGCTTTCTTGGTTGAGGCAGGACCTAAACCTGGTTCTCCTTGGTCCTAATCCCACACTTTGGTCCTAATCCTACAGCACCAAAGAATTATAGCACACACCTGAAGAAATCCCTCTCAAATGAGACCTACCTATCAGTACTGTTGAGTTTCTATAATATGGTTAACTTAACCCACCAGTACCCAATAGAAGGCTGTCACTTCCTGCTTATTTTAAAACTATTTTTGGGGAAGAAATGTAGTGACCCTATTGGGGTTATCACCACTACAGACGGGGGGGGGTAGAACTTTATGGGTTCATCCCTTTCACCCCCATCTGACCACGATGGGTGAAAAGTAAAATGCCCCCTTCTTGTGGGACTGAGCTGGAACATTGTGCTGGCAGCAGAAAACAAAGGTGGTTCCTTTAACCCTCCTAATCCTGTTTGCATGAAAATGCTGAGCAGAGAAAGTTAGTTCAGCCCCATACAGTCCGACGTTTCCCCCACCCACGTCAAGTGGGCTTAGACTTCAGACAACATGCTACCCCCTCACCCCAGCCAGGTAAGTAAGTTGTGCAAACATGATTAAGAATTTCTTCAGATGAAACTACAGCTACTAGGTTATGCTATTTTTCCTTTGGAATGCTTTTTACTTTCATCATGTGGTTCCATAATTTTGATTTTATCTGCTTCAGTGTAAATACAGTATATCAAATTAATAAAGAATCAGTATTTTTGTAATAAACATACTCAGAATAAATAAATACCACATAGCCTAACTCTTAAATTTTTGTCAAGCCTTTCTTTACCGAGACTAAAACTTATATAACTCTTTACAATAAAATTCATGTGCAGAGTTTAGCATATTAGCAGGCAAACTTCCAATTTAAACATTAATGTTTTTGTCTCCTATCTAAGTGGACCCAGACTCTGGGAGACCTTGTGTGGATTTTCTAGATAACCCTAATGAATGGAACACTAACTTCACAATGACTAATATTCTACTTAGTATCCAGGTAAGGAAAGAATGATGCAAACAATTTTTCTTAATTTTCTTTTGTTCATGGGAGAAGTAGACTTAGTTTATTTATGTCATACTAGGAACCTCACAGCTGCTTAGGCTCACACAAGGCACTTGCACTAATCCAGTAAAATGGTTATTTCTTTTTCCTTGAATAGTTTTCTGCAGTCCTTATCATAAATTGCTTTTGAGGTTCTCCTCACTTCTAGTTACAGTTTGCCAGATTGGTAGGAAGAGGCTGAGGAGGAAAAAAACTTCCTTCCTTCCTTCATGGGCCCACACAGAGTTTCAAAGTTCTTTAGATTCTGATTAAATTATTGGTTTGAAACCTATGTTTCATTATTATGAAATTTAATGAATTTGCTCTCTAGAGCTTATTCATGTTTTTCCCTTCATTTTCATATTTAGAACATGTAAGCCAAAAAGAAACCTATTTCAGTTAAGGCTAAAAAAAAATGAGAAAAATCTGTTTTTCAAATAGGGCACAGAATATTTAACTTCATTCCTTACACCACATTTGGTTCATGTATTGCCTCAGTTCCTTTGTAGCTTGATCAGATACTATTTGAGCAAATCTGTTTCTAAAAGAAGTAAATCCAAGCAAAAATGGTTTTGTAAAAGCAGCTTAGAATAATAATTAACTTTTAATTGGGACACCATTTTTCAGGGAGACTGATTAGTATTTGGATGGCAGACTTTCAGTGATTCCCAGAACCGTAGGCTACCACTGGAAAATGAGAACACATCCTGGAAGAGGCCATGCCAAACCACTTCCATATTGTGGTCAAGAAAACATGGATGTGTCCATGAAGTCATCAGGAGTTGAGCTCATCTGAGAGAACACTTATCTCCACAGTACATGTCCAAGGAAAGATATTTAATTAAATTTGGCACACTATTGTATGTTTAATTTTCACCACAGCATTCCTATTAGGGACAGATTCTTCCTCAAAGAAAATGTCTCTTTACTGTGTTAATGGGAGATCTATAGAAATGAGGCATCTTTGTGTACCTTGGTGCTTCAAGTCAAGGACCAGTAAAAGAGGAATATACATCTTTTGTGTATTTCAACAAAGATTCTTATGGCAGTGTTTTCTCATGCTACTTAACTGATTCAGGGAAGCACATGGAGGGTGCCCATTAACTATATTCTTATTATCTAGTTTTTATTTCCTACATGCATTCATGTGACTGAGGGAGATAATGTATAATATACAGTGTAAAACTTTCACTGCATGTCTGTACTCCAGGGCCTCAGAACAATCAACACTGGAACATTAGCTGAATATCCAGCTAACACCTCACAATAACATATGGCCGCTATTTTTCTTAATAGTACCTTTTGATTCATTTTAAAGGGATCCTTTTGTTTGCTAATCTAAGCTCCATAGTGATTGAACAGGTCATTATAGTGTTTTAGCAATCTTCTGGATTAACATTCCACAAGATTTAGAGCATTTCAGTAAAACTACTGAGTTCAGCCCCCATACTCCTGGAAACTTTTTAGTCTGCTGCCCATGAGTGTTCTCCCTACTTCTTGACTTGCAACACTGAGAACTCCCTATGAGCCAACTAGTAGTGCTCCTTCCAGTTGACCAGTAAAGACAGTAGAAGATCAGCATTCTGCTATAGTCCCATCCCCATTGCCTCACTGCATTTATTTTTAGAGCAAGGAGGTACAAAGACCCTGTCATAGTGAAATGGTATCTTGACTTCCCCAGGAAGTGTGGAGAGCCAAGGAACCAGAAGATGGTACACTAATGGTAAACCATCCCATTTGGCATTAGCACTGCAAAGCTACCTGCAGTGTTTTCTCCTGGAGTGCAACTGATCAAGAAGATCTTCTTATATAATATTATTTACACACACACACACACACACACACACACACACACACACACACACATATATATATATAGCACAGCCCCGATCCTGGACCACCTTAAGCAGGTGGAAGGGTTTTTACACTTGAATTTTTTTTCTGGATATAGTATCCATAAACCAAAAGACAAACATTCCAAAAGTGTGCCTGAATTTTTGTATATCCATATTTTATTCCAACATAAGAAACTACTCTTACTTTGTTTTCAGGACAACTATAGCTCTGTAAGTTAACTGTTATGCTGCTATTTCAGTATCCTTTCATTTTTATCCTGGTTTTGTTTTGTTTTTGGTGCCTTCAAGTCAGTGTTGACTCCTGGTGACTGCCTGGACAA